AGTGTTTAGCAGAATGCTGCAGTTATTGTGAAAAAATTGCTGTTATCACAAATGGAACACTTTTCAACCAAATAAAACAGTCAGCACTAGCTGTTGTACAATATAATATATAGATCTAATATTAATTCAGCAGAGATTGTAAGGAAATGGGAACATGATAGGCCTATTAACTGAATTCCTATTTCAAGCCTTGCAGATGAACAGATACAAAGGATTTCTCTCCAAAACAGGACAAGACTATTGTTAGACCTTTATTTTAGGCTGAGAAAAATCCTTTTGAGAAAGTTCTGTATCTGTACTTACAGCAGTGTTGCTTGGGTTAGCTCTTTTTTGTGATTGTATTAGCACAAAAGCTAAGTTGATTCTAGATGTGGAATTTGCATCTAGTGTCTCTTGCTGTTATCTTTCAACATGAGGACTAAAGAAGTGGCAATGTCAGTGAAGAGGTGCCTCATGAAGATGAAAAATCTGAATAAATCAATCAGTGACACAACCAGAACATTAGATGTGTTAAAATGAACTGTTTGAATGAAGTTCAGTCATGAAGAAAAATTCCAGCTGAGATCCATCTAAATGTTTCAAAGCTCATCTTGCAACAGGACAAAGGGCCTCATTCACCAACTGTTCGTAAGAAGAAATTTCTTCTTAAAACTCATGTGGTTCTCACAAAGATTCTGACATTCACCAATTTTTTCTTATTTGGGATGTATTCTTAGGTAAGAACAGAATCTATGCACACTCAAGAGCACAAAGGTGTGAACAGTTCTGTGGTTTAAGAACACGTCATGAATCTGTTGCAAATTTTTTCTTAGAACCTTTCTCATGAAAAAATGTAAGAAAAAACTTAGAAAGAGATTGGGGAATGATGCCCAATGACCCAAAACATACTTCTAAAGCAACTCTGAGGCTCATTTAGAATGTTCTTTACTGGCAAATTCAGGGTCTAAATCTGAACCCTACTGGAGACACGCTGAAGACAAACTGAAGACAAAACAAGTAAGAATTTAAACTGCATTGCAAGCCTGGCAGACCATCTACAGGAAAGATCATTTTTAAAGCCTACACCAGTCATTTTATTTCAAGTTTTTAATTGTGTTTACTTTGAGAATCTGATAAAGGCAAAAAAAACATAAAGCAATGCCTTTACACAGCAGTGTCTAATGTAAAAATCTGTTTTTAAACCAGTGCTTCGATAATGCTTCTCATATGTTCACCACAGTAGCTAGATATGTTAGCATCAAGATAGCAAGGTTAGCTTGGCGCTATATGGGATTGTAATCCCAGTGATAGTTTAAATATGGACAATTTTTTAGCTTGTAAGAGGCATGTGAATAACAGTGTTTATTTTATAGTTATGTGTCAGTAACATTTTACTTACAGGCTTGAACTTGAAGCCTATCTTTTATTTTTGTAGCATTAGCCTGATACCTGGTTAGCTTTCTGCTGCCTGCTCACCCTACGAGTGAGGGCAGAATCCAATTCTAAAGAAAATATAAACGGTAAACCTGTTTCAGCCATAATCTGATTGGCTGGCATTACTGCCACTAAGTGCTGATTCATTGGTGAGCTGATCAGCTCATTGGCTGAGTGAAGCCGTTTGTGCTCACTGATGACGTGAACATGCATGAGGTGCCGTTATAAACTCCTACATCTGGAGTTCAAAAGCATTCAAAAATATAACAGCATAACAGCGCTCTCTAGCATTTGACAAACCTGGAAGACATTACGAAGTGGCAGTTCTACTCACTACATATTCTCTGGCATTACACTGCAATTTTACAGCACTGCTGCCACCATCAGGTGAAACAGGCCAATTAAAATCTGTCCACAGGCCGCATTTGACACTGGGGCCGGACTTTGGACACCCCTGCTCTACAGAAAACACACTTAAATTTGGTATTTTCTGCAAATTTTAGTGCACAATTTCTGTTTATTTGTTGAGTTTAACACATTGGAAAGAAATTCTAAAGAAAGAAAGCATATATTGTGACATCATGAGACTGACCATGCTGCCGTAGGAGCCCAGCAATAAAAGAGCATTCAACTTTAAAGTGCAATGTTTCATGGACCTCTGAGTTCGCTAAAGTGCTATTCCTCTTGAAGCTGCTGGGAGGCGCCATCCCACTTCTGACATCAGCAAACTTGGAGGTGAACAGCAGAGAAGGCCAAGCCCGGGCAGAAGTCCACAAAAGAAAAAGCAGCGTGGTAAGGACTGGCAGTGGAGACTGCTAAAGAAGCAGTGCTGCGAGACCCAGCAGCAGAGCCTGGCTGGAGGACATCAAAAGAGGCATGGGCAAAGACGACAAGGAGGACAAAGTCTGGCTGGGAAGACCTGCCGGCATAACAGTGTGGCAGCTTGGTGGCATTGACCACAGCCCTCCAGTAATGCTTCGGGCAGGCGCCCATGGCATGGTTCCTGAAGAGCGGGTAGGCAGGCTGGTGGCAGAGCCAAGTGTGATGATCCGGCAGGTATTATCAGCATTCAGGCACAGGAGTTCATGCTGGGGCACTTCCTGACCATGCTGCCCCTGGAGGAGCTGAGATGGCACAATCCATGGCAGACGGGACTCCAGCTCACACAAACAGCATGCAAGGAGTTCCACCGTGCTTGGGGAGGAGGATGCAGCCCTCAGTCTGTCCGCTGAGGTGCACCAATGGAGTCCAGAGAGAGGACTAGGGGAGCATGTGGCATTTGTGTTGACTGGGAGGATGGACACTTCAAAACCCTGCTGCGGAGAGACCGCAGTAGGTGGGGAAGGGGAGGGGTGGCGTTCCCTATAGAATGTCCCCCAGGGACTCTGCTCAGACTTTGTGGGGTCACCAGGCCGGTTGACCTTTGAAGGGGGGGGCTATATGGCATCCTACCACTTGTCACACTGCTGTAGGAGGGTGGGAGGTGATACAAAGTGGCCATGAGTAGAGTCTCTCAGGAAGCATTGAACTCACAGTAGGAGAGACATTTATTGTAGGTAAGTTGTTGCTGTTAGCTTTACATGTGCAGCAGTGTTGGTTGTGCTATTCTGTGCTGAGTTGTGGAGTAGTTAGGTGGTTTAACTGTCTACCTTGAAGGAGAGTTGCGTGGTTAGAAGTGACCTGCTTGCTATCCCGGCTGCTTGGTTAGTGCTAAGCGGCAGTTCTCATTTGCTGCCTGTTCAATAAAAGAGCAATTGTCTTTCCCATGTCTCCTTCTTCACCGACACTACGATATAAAATGTGCCATTATGGCTAGAGTTGGGCCACTTTTGGCCCACAATGGAAATGCGGTACAAACATTTGACATGTTAGGTTGCATATGGTCCACATGCGGCCCAGAGTCTGAATACCATGACACATTTTAATTGTGGCTGCCAAAGTTGGGCCAGTTTTGGCCGACAATACACTTGCCATTGCCATAACTGACGCATAAGTGTCTTAACTTGGCCTAGAATCTTTTTGGAAACTTTTGTATAGGCCGTATTTTATGATTTATTTACAACCCCATTTCCGAAAAAAGTTGGGACGCTGTGCAAAATGTAAATAAAAACAAAATGCAATTATGTAAAGTAAGTAAAGATGAGGAGGGGTTCACCACTCTGTGAAAGACTGCATGAACAAATAGAGCAACAATTCAAGAATAACGTTTCTCAACATAAAATAGCAAATAACTTTTGCTTTTCATCATCTATGGTACAAAATAACATTAAAAGATTCAGAGAATCTGGAGAAATCTCTGTAGGTAAAGGACAAGGCCAAAAAACAGTATTTTTTGGCCATGATCTTTGGGCCCTCAGGCGGCACTGCATTAAAAACAGACGTGATTCTGCAGTGGAAATCACAGCGTGGGCTCAGAAACACTTCTGAAAAACAGTGTCTTTGAAAACAGTTTGTCGCTGCATCCACAAATGCAAGAAACCATATGTAAACAGGATCTAGATATGCTGCCACCTTCTCTGGGCCTGAGCTCATTTAAAATGGACTGAGAGGAAGTGGAAAAGTGTCCTGTGGTCCAATAAACTTTCTCAGTTTCAGCATTTGATATGTTGTCGTTGTAGTATTTTTCTTTAAAATATGGTTTACATGAATTTTTGCATATCTTTGCATTCTATTTTTATTTATATTCTGCAAAGTGTCCCAACTTTTTTGGAAATGGGATTGTATTTGTTTTATTGTTATATATATATATATATATATATATATATATATATATATATATATATATATATATATGTATGTATGTAGTAACTGTAGCCATTTTTACATGTCTGTATAGACTGTGATTGGAGTTCCATTTATATATTATCAAATAAAACTGTATTAACATCCAGCCTTTGCCACGCCCAAAATGTATCCGTTTCCACATTAATACAAAGGTGTGTCAAGCATAACTTGTCCACACTGTCACAGAAATTAGACAGAGAAATGGGTTTAAGACTTTTTTTTTTTTGCTTAATTCTTAGAAAAGTCATGTAATTTACTGTTGAAAAACAGAAGTATAATCAGTGTAGTTTCACTTAAAGTCATCTGACACAAAAATAAAATGTAAAAAACTTTTTTGATAATAGCGAAATTTAATTGAAACTACTGAAACGACTGAAACACTGTCATCGAAAACTGTGGGCACAGCTGGACTTGGTGTAGAGATTATTAAGAGAGGCTGTGTGGTGGCGTTAAAACGCGCTGGAGGCTTTAAGTGAGTGAGCAGAGCTGGCGAACCACAGCACCGATGCAGGCATGTCGACAGCGGTGGAATTAGAAAAAAACAGAACTTCGAAGAACCGACACGCTTCTTTTTCAGAGGTCTGCTGCAGTGAGCATCGCCCGAACTGCACCGCTACACTGCTCACTGGAGTTAAGGTGAAAGCTAATGAAGCTAAAATGACACCACGCCTCGTGTAGGCTAACAACAACAACAACCACAACAACGGTAAAACCCTCCGGAGACGGTAGAAGAGCTCTGCGAGGACAGAGTCGACATGAGCTGTGGAGGAAGAACAGGAGCAGGGGAGAGATAGCAGGTACGATATACGTGCACTGCGTGAGTGTTTATGAGTGAATTTACACAGCCGTTTGTCGGACTGAGACCTCCGGTGGATGGTGGCGGTTGTTAGTGTTGGTGCTAGCTGGGGCACCTGTAGCCTGCCTGGGGGAGTCAACTTCCAGTCATTTAAGCCTGCATTTACCGCGACTGGAAACGGACGGAGAGAGAGGACGGATCAGCCAGGAGTGGAAAGGAGGGGGAGAGTCAAGGCTGTGTCTCTTTTCGCTTTAAATGTCTCTCTTTCGCTTTCTCTAGTTAACGCAGCCCGTAAATGCACTACACCGTGTAGTCGATATGTTACGTCAGGCCTGAAGCTCGCGTTCACATTTCATTAGTCTGTTAGTTGTTTGGTCTGTATGTGTGTATGTGGTGTTAATGTCGTGGATGACCCATTTGTATCCTGGCGTGACATTTTTTGCAGGGCATTCCCATAAAGAGCAAGTATAAAAGAAAGAATGTAAAAAATGCATCCGTGGTAGGAGGGTGACAGTTAAAAGGACGGGCGTGGTCACATTACACGTGGTGTGTACTGAGTTGCCCATAGGTGTGTCTGAGTCCAGGTAAGCTGTACTTAAGCTTTGCTGGGATTTGATAAACGGGTTTGTATGTTACAGGTGTGGCTTCCTGTGAATAGATTGTGATCACACTTTATTTAGAGAGTCCATTTCAGATTATCTACAGAAGATCGTGAATCGTAAACCAGTGAAAGTCATCTGATCATCAGCAGTGCTAGGGTTAGGTTTAGGATTAAGTTTTTGGTTGAAATGAAGGTAAGGATTAGGGTTAGAAGTAATAGAATCTATTACAGTTGACTCAAAAGTAGAGTTGCGCTGAATAGATATAAGACAAAACATCTAGAATGGACTCTCAGAATAAAGTGTAGCATTACATATAGATCTGGTCTGCAGTAACTGGCTTATTTTCCTAACTGAGCATTGTATAGCATGCATAATTTGAAACGCACACACACACATGCCTGTGTGAGGGAGGTTTTCAGCAGTCTGTCACTGGCTGGAATGAATGAGGCATCCGGCGGTACAGTGGAGGCACTCTTCTGTTTTATGGCCTACAGTGAATTGTGAGCATGTGATGTGTATATTTAGAGAAAAAAGAAAATCTCGCTCCTTCTCTCTTCCTGAGGGATTTGGGAGAGAAAGAGGAAGAGAGGCAGCCGGTAAGTTACAGCATGCCCGTCTATAGACAAACTTTGACCCCAAAACAAACCTCAACCTCCCATAACTCACTCAAACTCATGTTTCTCTCTCTCTCTTTCTCGCTCTCTCTTTCACTCTCTCTCTCTCTTTCTCTCTCTCTCTCTCTCTCTCTCTCTCTCTCTCTCTCATTCTTCCTCTCTGCTTCATGTCCTGACATGTCAGGAACGAGGAGGGGAGGAGATAAAGGAGAACAAGAAAAACCGGTGAGCAGCTGTGAGAGCCAGAGTGCTTATGTGTCTGAAAGAAGGAGGAGATTCCAATCCTGTCAGCCTAACCCATGAGACCTGCTGGGAGGACAGAAGGACACAGACGGACAGCCAGACATGAAGCAAAACAGTAAGAGAAACGCTGGAATTGAAGACCACTGGAAGCATTTTAAGGAAGGAGGGAAGAGGGACAAAGAGATCAGTATCTGAGATAAAGTAAGAGCTTGTGCTTTTTTTGTTTCGTTTTCTCTCTCTCTCTCTCTCTCTCTCTCTCTCTCTCTCTTTCTCTCAGTTCTGGCAGTTTTATTTGCACGACTATGTTAAGTACAATATTGCCAAAGCATAGGTAATTTCATGTATTTTTTAATGTTGATGAATAATAGAAACAGTAACTCCTTCACTCACTCTGCCTCAGTTTATGTTCTGGGGCAGGACATTGCACCAACTCATCTATAGAAAGTGAAGGCACTTTCATTCATTCATGTCATACAACTTCACACGCGCAGGCACCGTGTAATGTAGTAAGTTTACCTGTACAGTATCAGCTGGAACAGCAAGCTAGCTGCTCTGCAGAGCTTTGTGTACTTGTAGGTTTATGTGTGTTGTGTCCTTTCAACAGGCAACATGATGAGCCAAAATCCTAACAAAAGCAGAACCAAAATGCACCTGTAACCAGGAACCATCTGAGGACACTCTCGGATCCTTCACAACCAGGAAAAATCAACCTTTTCAGTTCAGCACAACTCCTCAGCACTGTATGATTCTCTATGCAAAAAGACTGAACCAATGGATGGTTGGATGATTCCAAAATGAACTCTTAACTCTTAGCAGTATCAATTGTGCTGCTCTTCTTGTAGCATGGAGCAAGGTCCATCATTCGCGAGGGCCATCATCACTCCATACCTCCGGTCCAGATGAGGGGCTCCAGCCCCAGCTTGCTGCGGGGCCGGCGGTTCCACTGTCGGGAATGGGCCCTGGAGAAGCTGAAGAGATGCCTGGAGGCGAGGGACGCCACCAAAGGGGCGCAGGACTCGACCCACTGCCCGCCCGGGGTTCTAGTGACTGGGGGTCAAGGCATGGGTAAGACGGCCCTCTGCACAGAGCTGGTGTGGCCTCAGTCAGAAGCGGGCAGAGCGGCAGGACTGGCATCACGGTGCCTGGCCTGGCACTACTGTCAGCAGGAGGATGCAGGCAGTGCAGAGGTTTGGAGGTTTGTTCTCGGGCTTGTGGAGCAGCTACGGGACAGTCCACTGCTAGCACCCAGCTACAGCCACATGTTAGCCAGCCCCTCTGTCGCTGCCAGCCTGGAGCCAATTCACTGCCAACGAGACCCCGATGACACTTTTAAAAGGTGAGTCCTTCAGATTAAAGCTTGAAATATTTGCCCTAACCTGTTGAGACTTTGTTTGGACATCTGTTCTCAAATGTTGGCCTGGTTCAGATTTCAAGATCAGGTTTCTCACAGCCCATATCCCACCTTTAATGGACTTTGGCCTGCATTTTTATCTCTGGTTTACATTTCCTTCCTACTTTATTTTGCTCTGTTTTCTCTCTACTTTTATTACATTCACATTTTTGATTGATTGGCAGCAAGGTCCACAAGGCCAATATGAACACTATACATTAGTTTAGGTAAATTAAATAAATGATGTAAAAGCTTTTAGGATGATGTTCAAAGTCATTGTTTAACAAATAAATTCTTTAAAGTGAAATTGAAACTTTATTTTTTGGACAAAATTTTGGATTCAGATTTAAAGTCTGGTGCTGGGCTGTATTTGGGTCCAGACCAAAATATCAGGCCTGGTTAAAATTGTACTTCATCTCTTTAAAGGGGCATTCTGGCATAACACTACAGTTTAATGTTATTTAATGTGGGGAAAAAATGTTATGCACTTATAGCTCAATTGTAATCTATAAGACTCAATAGTTTGATAGAATTCACAATTTTTTAAAGTTTGTTTCTGTTCATGAAAATCCTCTTATTACAATATTCAGCATGCATTATGCAACTACATCAAACCATTGAAAATCCTTGTTAAGTCAACCAGTGCTGATTGCCATTAGCCACTGATATATAGATTAAAAAATAAAACCAGGCTAACATTAGTATAACTTTTACCTTAGTTGTTAATCAAAATCATAAAGAGCACATTCTCTCTCTCTCTCTCTCTCTCTCTCTCTCTCTCTCTCTCTCTCTCATAAAACTGAGGGAGAAGACAAATTCCTTACCCTTGCTGCAAAAGAAAAGAGGCCAAACTGAATTAAAGTATTTAGATAGCCATGTAGTTAGCTTTTAACTTGTTGCCATATTCATCTGATGAGTAATTTGCCATTTAAATAGTCCATTCTCTCTATTATAGGGATGATTTGATGACATCTATTACAGTTATACAGCTGCCATAAGATATTTAGCTTCATAGCAGTGACACTAGTTGTCTGGCTTCCTTTTGCATTCACCAGCGAACCAAAAAAAAGAACAGCCTAGCCTCAAAGACATAAAATAAAAGCAGCTGTAGTTTTTCAACAGTTCCTCCCAACTTCAAGACACATCATCAGAATAGTTTTCACAGCTTTTGAATCAGAATATCTCACTCTGGAGACTACAACAGCACAGCTGTGGGATGTTGGTGAGCATGTTTGCAACAGATGTAGCGATGGTTACATTTTCCGTTGTCCGGAGTATCTGTTTAAGAAGTAAATGAACACTAATTATACACTTAACGAAAACCTCACTCTTTTTGTATTGTGTACCCATGTTTTTATGTGTCAGCATTTAGTCCTGTTTCTGAAACTGTCTTAGCTTAACTTGGGTTTATCATTAGACTCTGGCCCATTTGCACCACCTTAAGGATAAATCTTCTGATGGCAAAACACAAACACTTGTGTAAGTCGTCCTGGACAATGTCTCATGTTTAAGTTATGGGTGTTTTATGCCTTACACAGAAATCAACTCAATACATGTACTGACCCATTGCTCGTTTCTTGATGTTTGTCTTAATGCAGCAATTATCTCTGTAATAAGTTTCTGCTTTGCAGGCTTATTGACCTTTAACAGAGTCTTTTCCCCAACAGGCACTTCCCCCCGAGCACTCACTTATTATTTCATATCAGTGTTTTTTTTTTTCATTTTCAAGCTGTTCTGATATCTCTCTTTCATACTGCGCTTCTGTTTTAGCACACTAAATCCCTGCTGGACTCTTTGCTGTCTGCCTTTGAAAGGTCTCTCAGCATTTCATGTTTGCTCTGTTTTCCTGTGAGAAACCCTGATGTTTCACAGTTACACTCCGGCTCCAGCTAGCACACTCCCTTTGCAATTCCCTTTAGCTCCGCATGTAAAAGTACACTTTAAAGATCTCCCTAATGTTGCCTTTTCAACTAAACAATCCAAACACATCTTAATGTACTCTAGTTATTATTGCCATCAAGATCATGTTTTCCTAAATACTGTATGAAAAAAAGGAGAAGAGAGTTTGGTATTAGATAATCTGTCCCAGTGCTTGTTGATCCTTGGTCTCAGTCTTAAATCAGGGCTACTATATCTCACTGCGGTGTTCTTGTGTTTTACATCAGGGATCCACATATGGGGAAATAAAAGCTCGTGGTGTGCGTCTTCACATCAGAATGTCAAAAGCTGAAATGTTTTGTCTGCACTTAAGTGTACTGAAGCACCACCCTCTCCTGTGGCAATTTGTCGGTGGATCTGGGCTAAACCCTGTTTGTATTCACTTTTATCCTCCTCTCCTCTCTAACACCAAGCTGTCGTCTGGTACCCCCTGAAAGACGTTCTCTATGTCAAAGACAGGAAAGGGCTGATTGTTCGGCTTCCCTGGCACTTATATTTATTTATTTATCTCCCTCGACCCAATAATGCAGCCTATTCACGGCTATCACAATAGGCTTTGAATGGCATGAATGGCAGACGCTATTTATGACCCTTTTTAGTGGGGAGGGGGAGCAAAGACTGAAAAAATGTGCCCCTTCTGTGTTAGGTTGGGTCCAGTTGGTGAGGTCGCCAATCTGACAAGTCTCTTGCTGTTCTCTCTCTCTCTCTCTCTCTCTCTCTCTCTCTCTCTCTCTCTCTCTCTCTCTCTCTCTCTTTCTAGCGAGCCTTTGCTTGTTGCTAACATTAGCTTTCCCTGTTTGTTGACCACAGAGCTGAGGTACAGCCCCACATTCCACACACCCTACACACACAAACTGACAAAATACTGGGATGTTTTCTATTTAGCACAAGCAAGAAAACGTGTGTGTAAATGTGTAACAAGGGCTCAAAAGAAACCTCCACTGCATTTCATTTGGGTTTCTAGTCTTCTGCTGTATTTAAAAACAAACTCTCAGATGTACACAACTCATTATTAATACACGTTCGCTGCTTATTTAGCAATTTGGGAATCCTAATATATGTACAGATATGAGACCAGGTTGAGTTTGTTTCAGCTATAAACAGAGTTTGAATTGTGAGGACATTTGTTTTTGATTTACAAGCTTGAGTGTGCTATTGTCAAAACGGCATCACTCATCCAACTAGGACTAGCCCTGAGTTTATAGAAAAAGAACAAGGTCAGGGTATTAGATGTATCACTGTCATATCCAAAGCTTTGGAGTACTATGCAAAAGGTTGAGAGAACCCGTAATTTATTGAATTCCCGATAGCCAACAGCCATTGAGTACAAGTTTTTCAGGAGATATGTCTAAGAAGGTTAGATAAAAGATTGCATAAAAAGCTGGAAAAGTTAAAGGGAATGGGACTCCCAACAACCATTTAGCAACAAAAACAGTTCTCAGTAGCCTGGCTACCTCAGAGTCCAGACATAAACATCACTGAATGTGTTTGGGGTTACTTAGATTGTGAGAAGCATGAAATGCAACCAACTTCTAAGACCAGCTTTTAAAAATATTTCTGAAGGTTTCTTTGAAAAAAGTAGAAGCAAGTCTATTGAAAAGAATGGCAGCTGTAATAAAGGAAAAGGGTGGACACTAAAAATTCTGATATGATATTTAGTTGTTGAGGTTTCTGTGTAATTTTCTGTTGAACATATGTTTTCTGCCTTTTTTCCTGATTCTGAAAAATTAGTAACCTAATGGCTGTTTTGAATGAAAATAAAATAATTCTGGGGTGGTCTATGGCTTTTGCACAGTAATAAACATTAAAATTAAACTACTTTTCTTAGTTGAGTTGTTGTTCAAGGAACTAAAAGTAGTTCTTCTGTGGCATCGCAACATTTTGGAGTGTTTTACATCAATAGCTACATTTAGATCAACTTTCTGTGCAAAGTACAAGCACTAAAATGAAAATTCTTTATAAAATGTTTGCAATTTTTGCTGCAAAGCACCTTTTTAAACTGACTTTAGCAATGTAGTGCTTTATATATTGGCATTTCCACTTAACAAAAAAAATAAGGTAAATGTGTCACATGAAACTAAATATATGTGTAAAAACCTTATTTTCCTGAAAAGCACAATAGTTCAGGTTTCGACAAAACTTTTTTTTTCTGCTAAAATTAAAATGGACCAAAGTGTTGTCGACATTCATAAAATATTATACACAATTTCCATTTCCATAGCCTACACCAGCAAACTTAATGAAGCATCAAAACATTTTTCTAAAAAAATGCTTTGGATAGAAACGCTGCTGCTGATGGTACTGCAAGCCAAGTTGTCATGAATTTTGCTGGGACTGTGTTTGTAAGTATTTGTATGTGTTTGTCATGACTAGGTAAAAGAGTTTATATGAAACATTGAATTAGCAGTCAACGTTAAAGGTTCTGGCAGGGAGGTTTGGCAGTGCTGACCCATAAAAAATGAGTCCCTCTGTGTTTTGGGTGACAAGAACTGTAATTTACAATTGAATGTTCAAGCTCTCCAGTCACCTCATCTGCTCCACTGTCCAGCTGGAATATGTAAGGTCAACCACTCTGACTGTCCCTCTGAACCACAGCATGCTCAGGCCTCCCTCTCCCCAGTAGTAAACCAAAAGGTCATGCACTTAAGCAGCGCACCCAATCTTTACAGGGGTCAAGGTTCACCCACAGTCCATTGCCCTCTGCCATTTGGAGAAAGCAGCACAGGAAGTAGATTATAGGGTTTGTTAGCCTGGCTGTGTGGCATGTGTTGTTCTTATCAAATTATGAATGCACACACATTAGAGATAAGGGGCTGCCAAACTGTTGTAATGTTTATGATCATGGTTGCTTCTTCAGAGTCTAGGGGAGAATTTACAAAGCACGATTTCTCAGTTTCCAAAAAAAAAAAAACCTGTGCTTAAGGATACGTCTAATAGGAAAATAAACTGAGGGACATTTCTATTGTACAGTCCCCAACTTTGAGCTTAAGTTGGTTAACCTGCTTTGTGAAATACTCCCCAGGAGAAAAACACAAAGAGAGAACCAGCAAAAGCAGATGATGCGGTAAACTGCACAAAAAAGGTGCCACAAAGGGTTCTTTGAGGGATGCCACAGAAGAACCACCTTTTGATTCTTGATTGATGTTTGAAAGAGATTTGTGAGTGTGAAGAACGTCGTATAATGTAAAGGCTCTACATTTGCTTTTACATTAGCTGGAGTTTTTTTAAAAAGGTTTGCACAGTCGCACATCTTCGTAACAAAAATGGTTTTCTAAAGGACCATGCACTGAAAGATTTTTCAAGGACCCAAAAGTGGTTCCTCTACAGCATCGCACAGAGAACCCTTTTTGGCACCTTTGTTTTTGAGAGTTGTTCTGAGTTTACTTCTATAAATGCTGTTCGTTGTAAAACTTACTAGCGGCTAGGCTGCCTGGGCCCTGCTGACCTCATTTATCACTGACTGCTCATCATGAGTAACAAATGTTTTGTGGAGATGAAAGGCAAAGTTTGACTGGAGTAGATCAAATCCAACATGATTCATCTATAATTGCAGTGACTGAATGCTAATTACTATGCTTCTGGAGCATAGTTGTAAAGCGTTGTTGTCAAGTAAGTAGTGATAATTCGGCTAAGGATAAGTTGAGGATAGGCAGTGTGACCGAGGTGCAGTAATTCCATAGTTTCACCGTGACATGTTGAAGTGAGTAGTCAAGAGGGCTGCTGTATTTAAGGATCCCAAGCTTTGATCTGAGTGCTCTTATCTTTGGCACTTTTTGCAGTGTGAGTCTGATAAGGGAGCAGCATGCTCATTGGTGCTGTGCCAACATCTAGCTGTCTCCCAGTATGCATGAAGGCACAGGAAATCTCTGAGCTTCCATAGCACTGACTCACCGTGCCACATCAGCCACACCTCAGGCCAGAAGGAGGAGGATGAGACAAGTGGGAAGAGATTGCAAGCGTGAAGTAAGGAGACGTTGGAGGGCTGATAAATGTTGTTGAAGAAAAAGGAGGGCTGGTTTCATTCTAAATTTCAAAATGAATGAATTCCCGATTTGCCTTGTTCCTGCTCTGACGTGAATTCCATTCCTGCACGGTGGCATCTCATCTCTTTTCTGCTTCCTGTAATCATATAAAACTCTCCCCCTCCCGTGCTTTATTTCCCTCTCTGTCATCTCCCTCCTCTCCCCTACTTCCTTGTCGCTTACACTTCCTCATCTGTTTCTTTTGTTAGCCCCCCTCTTCCTCTCTCCCCTTCCTTCTCTCAATTGTCTCATTCGTTATTGCACCCTTCCCCCCTTCTTCATCAAATTAAAATTTTATATAACATAAAGTTACATTAGCCAATTCAGGAATCACGATTATACAAAGACCATAACTGTGCATAATAGGATGTCTGATAAGAATGTAGTGCAATTTTTAGCAGCTAACTTGGTGTTTTAAGTGTTCTCTGTAGTGTATGGGCGGAAGCTGTTTATTTCAAACATAAAATCTTAGTTGCGATCTTGGTTCTTGGTTATTCAGGAATTATTTATCCATGGTTATCTGATGTTGCTTGCTTCCTTTGGCACAGCAGACTCCAAAACTAAACGGCTGAAAACACTTTTTGATAGTCGTTATTAAGAGTGGATAACACAGCTTTGTTTGAAAAACCTTTATCTCTCTTTTCTTCCTTTAGAGCGGTCCTCGAGCCCCTGCTCTCCTTACCCTCTCCAGCTCAGAGCGTGTACATAGTGGTGGACTCTCTGGATGCTGGTTACAGTGGATATGTTGGGGCTGGTGAGGGGCTGACAACTGGGGCCATGGCCATTCAGAGTACTTCAATAGCAGATCTTCTCCTCAGGCACCTCCAGCTTTTCCCTCCCTGGATTCTCCTGGTCTGCTCTGCACGCAGACAGAACAAAGCTGTCTGCAAGATGTTCTCAGGTACACTAGTACATATATATTCCTGGAAACTATGCATGTTCAAACCAGGTTTATTATATCCAGTCCTGGGAACTATGAGTTCAAGCCAGATTCATTACACCCACTTGCTTCAAACTCACTGCAAGCAGAATATCATGTATAAAATGTAACATCTTTCTCATCATTCCATCACTGCTGTTCTTTTCTATGTTCAGAAAAGACAAAGCTTTGACAAGCTTTTGACATAAGACACAACATTAATGCAAAGTTGTCTGTAATGAACACGGTTCCATGTTTAAATCAAGAATGTTGGAATCCCTGAAGCAGTGTTTCAGTTTTCAGAGGGGCACAGAGTTTTGTCTTAATTAGTGGCATTGGAAATATTGAATGTCATTTGATGTTGCACTCTCAGGAAAGTAAGTCCACAATCATCAAAGCTAATTGGCCATAGGCTGTCAAGTATCTTTACTGACGATACGTACATGGATCACAGGGACTTTGTTCTGTGTTTGCAAACCCAACCACAGCAATAATTTAATATAAAGCACAGTCTTTCTTTTTTTCTTTTGTATTCTGTATTCTATTTTTTTCATGCTGTTTTCAGTGCATTCTCTATACATCTTTTACTCCTTTGTTCTCATCTGCTCACATTCTTTTAAATGAGTTGATCTGGTTTTAAGAGATGAGACCAACACACTCATTAAACTTTCCTATCAAAAAGATGGAACAAGAAGACACATGAGCTCTGTATGTTCTTAATCTGTTAAAAAAGATGTGCAAAGATTGTGTTTTAAGGTTATTGTAAAGTAGTCCTAAATATCCTTTCAGCCTGCAGCTGTCTTAGATTCTTCACTTAAAGTTTGCAGTTGCCTCAAAGGGATGGGTGGAGTTTTAAACCCTTCCCATTTGTAGTCAGTCTCAGGAAAAGAAAGAACTGGGAGGAAACTCAGCATGTTGCCCAGCTTTCTCTTTCATCATTCCTTTGTCCATACTTCCCCTCTGGTATTCTTTAAATTTTTTTGTCCTTCACTCTTAGATTTCATCTCTCTTGTCTTTGTTCTGCAGGGTTTCGGAAGCTGTGTATAGATGACTTGAGGAAACCTGCGGCAGTGCGGGATGTTCAGCATTACATTCTGCGGAGGCTGGATCAAGAGGGAGCACTGCGCCGGCAGCTCACGCCAGAGACAGCTGACATGCTTAACCTGCTGCACATTAAGAGTGGCGGCTGCTTCCTTTTCCTGGAGCGAGTGCTAGATGGTGTAGCATGTGGTCTGGTAGGACTGAGAGAGATCCGGGACATTCCAGGCACATTGAATGGTCTGTACCTGTGGCTTTGTCAGCGGCTCTTTCCCCGCAGGCTGTTTGTCCATGTTAGACCATTGCTCAACATTATGCTGGCCTCCCCACGACCTCTCACTCCTGAGAAGCTCTACAGTGCTGCACGTACCAGGGACAACTGTCTAGAACGTGAGGACTTCCACTCACTAATGCGTGCTTTGGCACCACTGATTGTGGATGGGCCTGAGGACAGTAAACTCCTATTCCATGGCAGCTTTGCAGAGTGGTTAACCGACGTGAAGTATTGCACACAGAAATTTCTGTGCAGCGTGAAGGATGGTCACCTTTCACTTGCCATGTACCTGTCACTGAGATCCCAAAGCCTTGGCACAGAGGAGGTATGCCAGCTGGGCCACCATCTCCTCAGCAGCGGAATCCATACTGGGGAGACATCTCTTCTTGCTTTGTGGATGATATGGAATGGTGTTCCCACTCTCAGAACTGGTTCTACTGACATCTCTCAGACCCTGAACACCCCAGTGTTGGTCCAACAGGATGTGCTGCAGCTTTTGATGAAGAGTGGAGTGTATCCTCCCACCTGTTCTCCAGACAATTGTGCTAGTGTAGGTGTGCAGTGTGTGGGTGGAGGAAGAGGAATAGTACGGCGGGCACTGCAGAGGGAAGACTCTGTGCGAGCACTTTTGGACAGTGGGGTCAGCGTGAACCGCACAGACCCATCAGATGGACGGACACTGCTGTCTACTGCGGCTCATGCAGGGCTTGTGGATGTCACTGCACTGCTGCTGTGTCGTGGGGCAGACCCTTCTCTCAGCGACCACCACGGTCAGACAGCCCTAACCCTTGCTGCCAGGCAGGGCCACATTAGTGTGCTGCAAATTCTGCTGGAGTGGGCTCAGGAACAGGGGTGTGACACTCCAGCTGTTCGAGCCCTGCTGGAGCATGTTGATAGTGAAGGATGGACTGCCCTGCGTTCAGCCGCGTGGGGTGGCCATAAAGAAGCTGTAAAGATGCTTCTTGAGGCACGAGCAGAAGTGGATGGTTGTGATCCAGATGGTCGCACAGCTTTGCGAGCTGCTGCTTGGGGGGGTCACGAGGAGGTCCTGATGACCCTCCTAAACCATGGTGCTAAAGTGGATCGCATGGACCACGAGGGGCGCACTCCACTCATTGCTGCTGCCTACATGGGCCATAAAGAAGCAGTAGAGATCCTGCTGAATGCAGGTGCAGAAGTGGACCTGGCAGATGGGGATGGGCGCACTGCTCTCTCAGTGGCTGCTCTGTGTGTGCCATCAGCAACAGGAGGGAGAGGACATGGAGAGGTCGTAAGTCTGCTGCTGGAAAGGGGTGCTGATCCAGAGCATAAGGACAGAGATGGGGTGACACCTTTACTGTTGGCCTCCTATGAGGGCCATGAGGAAGTAGTAGAGCTCCTCCTAGAAGCTGGGGCAGATGTCGACGAGAGTGCTGGAGTCTACCCTTCTGCAGTAACACCCCTCCTTGCAGCAGCAGCCATGGGGCATGCAGGCACAGTGAATCGCTTGCTATTCTGGGGGGCAGCGGTAGATGGCATTGATGGGGAAGGTCGCACAGCGCTTTGCTTGGCTGCAGCTAAGGGCAGTGTTGAGGTTGTGAGAGCTCTGCTGGACCGAGGGCTAGACGAGAATCACAAAGATGATCTAGGCTGGACGCCACTGCATGCAGCTGCCTGTGAGGGCCACAAGAGTGTCTGTGCTGTGCTAACCGAGCAAGGCAGCATGGCAAGGGTGAGTGAGTTGGACGTGGAAGGCCGGACTGCGCTCATTCTAGCAGCACAGGAGGGCCACTGCAGTACAGTAAGGCTCCTGCTAGACCGCAAATCACCTATTGATCATCGAGGGTATGATGGACACTCTGCTCTCAGTGCTGCTGCATTGCAGGGGCATACCGAAGTGGTAGAGCTGTTGCTTAGAAGGGGAGCTGACACTGATGTCCGAGATGCAGAGGGAAGACCTCTTCTTTATCTGCTAGTTCTAGAAGGTCGCTTGGATATTGCTACTCTGCTCATAGAGAAAGGGGGTGTCCCGCTGGAATCAAGAGATGTTGATGGGCGAACAGCACTGCATGTAGCAGCTTGGCAAGGTGACCTTGAAGGTATCAGCCTTTTGCTGAGACATGGTGCAGATCCAAATGCACTAGACTCCGAGGGTCGACCTCCACTGCACTCTGTGGCATGGAGGGGTCACACAACTGCAGGGAGACTGCTCCTCAGAGCCAGGGAGGTTAATGTTGATCTAGCCTGCAAAAAGCAAGGTGCCACAGCACTTAGCATCGCCTCTCAGGAGGGACATGCTGAAATTGTGGCCATGCTTCTGGAAAAAGGTGCAGATCCAGACCATGTGGATCATTATGGCCGTAGCCCAGTAAAAGTTGCAGGAAAGCGAGGTCTTTTCAACATCGTGCGTCTCCTGGAGAGCTATGGTGCAAAGCCATTCCCTGGACTCATACCACCCTCACCATGTGGGACTCCAGGCTCCTCCTCTCATTCATCCACAGTCAAGACTCAGACCTCTGTCTCTTCTGGAGAGGTGTGTGCCAATGGAGCCCCAACCACTTCTTCCACCTCATCAGCTTCTTTGTCAGCCTCTTGTTCCCCAGCCTCCACAGCTGAGAGATTCCACTCAACGCCTGGCTCTCAGACTTCCTCCTCCACATGCCACTCTCTGGCTACTGTGCAGACTGTCCCTGCCGACACCCTGAGCTTTACTCAGCAGATCCAGCAACACTCCCTTCCCCGTTGCCGCAGCAGGCCATCCACCCTGCCTCTGCCAGGCTCAAATGCTGCCAGCCTTCAGGGAAGTGCTGCCAGGAACAAGCAGAAGCTTGTCACCAAAATGAACCCTACTCATGCACAGTGCACCTTTCTTGGACTACAGGAATCAGATATGTCCCTTAAAGGGCTTGGGTCTCCAGAAGCTGGTGACTACCTCTTGAAATCCAAAACCCCTCAGTTTATTGAGGATGAGTTTGTAAAGAGCCCTCAGCAAGTTGGAAGTGGAGTAGACAAATGGAACTCAGTAATGGTGTCCTTGGGGTTGACGCCAAATCAAGAGGGGGCCATTAGACAGCCAAAAAGTAGAGAAACTCCACCTTTAGGGTATCCTCCTCTTCATCTCCAGTCCCATTCACAAAGAGATAACTGGACAGGCCTTCAAAAAACACCCCTTTCCTCAGCTTTTGACCACTCAGCCATGTCCCCACATAGTGCCTTACTCGAAGAGTCTGTGTTCAACATCACAACCACAGACCCCCAGCTCAACCTTAAACAGGCAATCAAATTGCAGTTTGAGGGACCAACCAGTGCAGCACTTTACAAGAGAGAAACACCACTCTAAGGTAATAGATTATGCTTAGACATATAAGAAGGCTACTTGTTCAGAGTGTGACATTCAACATGTTAAGAGTAATTACTAAGTGAAGAGTAAGAAATACTTTGTTCTTGGGTGTCTACTCTGCAGTTTAGTGGGAGAGAATGTCTGGAATGCTAATGACAACTTTGTTTCTTGTAGGCAACCCTTGGTGATTTGGAGCTCAAGGAGGGGAGGGTGGTGTGGATAATTGCAGCGTGTGAATCACTCAGGGTGGAGGGAAATGGTAGCTGAGATGCCACCACACTCTGACCTCTGACCTCCTGCAAGACCAGCGAAGCAGAAGGAACAAAGAGGAACCAAAGGACTTCAAAGGAGTAATGCTGTGTACATTCCGGACATTTTCTTTTACATCCCGTCAACATGGGGAACAGTTGTCTCCTTCTCTCTCTCACATACATATACACACGATCACAGGAAAATATTCTTACACAGGAACACACAGGTGGATTGCAGTGGTATACAGGAAAATGTTATAAAGCATAGGTAATTATGGAACACAATAAAAAGGACTATAATAAGTAGTAAAGGAGTTTGCAAGCACACATGCAACAGGGAGTCTTACAGGGGTTGTCAAAATTCTTGTTTCAGCTGGCACACACACACAGTGTGTTTGATGAAACTTTTGAGATGTTTTTCTAGTTTTGGAGGAAATTGACAGGCACAGAGAGAGAGAGGAGACAATGTATGTGACAGTAATGCTGTTTCTTCTAATCTTGGACCACTCGTTCATTTACCCTCTCTGGAATGCACCCCGGCATTGTGGTGCCCAGAGCCGGAAGGACTGCTGCCAAAAAGGGCTCATGCATCAACACATCACCAAAAACATAGCATTCTTAACTGTCCCTCAGAGGATTTTGTACTCCTTTTAGCAATTGTTTTGGTCATCAGTGATGACTATTTTTAAGAATATATGTTGGCTTTTTTCTCTTTTGTTTTGACTTTGCCAACATTGATGTTTCCATGCTGTATTGTTCATCAGCGTGTATTTATATGTTTTCAATTATTTACTCATTGTGATTCATGTTCTCTCTCCCCTAAACACTGACTCAGCACACCTGTCAGCTAATTACACTGCAATACTAAAAACAGAGGCTTTATTACATGGATGAAAAAAGACATAATGTAATGAGGAAGAGAGACTGTAGTTAGAGAACAAGAAAAAAGGCAACAAAGACATCAGATAGGTCTTGACATTTAAATAGTACATTTGAAGGATAATGGCCAGGGTCATAAATACTTGAGAGAGCCATAACAAAAAAAAGGATTCTAAATTCTGCCAGATGTAATTTACATTGTTTATAATGTTTTGTCTGTCACAGTTTAATGGGATTTCTTTAATTAAAATACATTTTTTACTCTAATTGTGATTGGTAAATGAGAAATAGATAATTATGTTCATAATTGTTCATAAGTGATTACCTTTTTAGTGGCCTGCTGTACAGGCTTATGACTGTAACAGAAGGGAACACTGAAAGAAACAAACCTTCACCTGTGGAAAATCTGCCTGGAGCTCAGGACACAATCGTTTCATCTCTTTTTTCTTACTCACACAGAGTAATTTAAGCAGGTTAGTTTGCTATGAACATGTTTTCTCAGTTCTGTGCAGAAAAAAAAAGTTGTTGAATATACACTATATGTCAAGAAATTTGTACACACCTGATCATCCAACATTTCATCAGGATATTAATAGGGAGATTTTGCTCCTTTTGCTGCAGCAACAGCCTACTAAGAAGGTATTGCAGTAGATGTGGTACTGTGAGGATGTGATTACATACAGCTATGAGAGACTTAGTGAGGTCAAGTACTGATGTTGGAATATTAGTTGCTCCATCACTCCAGGGAAAGCAGTTCCATTTCTAAACAGCTCAAAGCTGGGGGCTTTATAGCCCCCTAGCTAATGGTTAGCATTGGACATGGTGACTTTAGGCTCATGAGTGGCTGCTCTAGAGCAGTGTTTCTCAACTCTTGTCCTACAGGTCCACTGTCCTGGACATTTTAGTGCTTTCCCTGCCTTAATACAGCCATTTTAACTCAATAATTGGCTGTTAATGAGCTAGTTAGTTGGATCAGGTGTGTTGGAAGCAGGGAAAACACTAAAAAGTGCAGGGCAGTGGGCCTCCAGGACCAGGGTTGAGAAACGGTGCTCTAGACCAACATATTGTATTGTCAGTGCTTTTCTATGGTGATTATAGAAGCTGTGTGTGTATGATTAAACAGCTGTGTCAGCAATGGGTGCAAATTCATCTAACTGTATTAATTAGGAGTGATGTCTGGATACTTTTGGGTAGTGTGCTGGGGCTTGTTTCAGTACTTTTTAAAATATGCCCTAATAACTTCAACTCGTCACTTTGACGTGCATTACACCTACAATTGTACTCGTAGCACAAGGAAAGGACGGGACAGAGAGGAGTGGAACACTGTCGCCCTCAGCTGATTAGCTAAGGTAGTGTGCTAATCATCTAGCCTTGCAAACTTTGCAGTGTAAAACGTTTTTTTTAAACATAACATACATAAAATTTGTGAATAATTGCTTTGTTTGGCTACGAACTTTGGTGTGGAGCCAAAGTGTATTGCCTTCCGCTTTGTCGTTGTTAGATGGGTAGGTTTTAGCATGCCAACTAGCAAGACAGAGTGATGTATTGAAGTTGTCTCAGCAGTCATGTTTAACAGATAGAATAGTTTGCAATCTAAAGCCAACAAATCAAATGCTGAGTATTAAGCATTTTTAAGTAGTTTACTGCTATGGCTTACAAATAGCTTTATCCTTCATTTTTTGAGTTTGAAAAGAGAAAGACGTCAGGACACAATGATTTCTATGCAAGCTCTGCTGTCGACACTTTTCATTCAATCCCCTACCTCTCATCTAACATGTTTTACTTGAGCTAATACAGTAATGAACAGCTCTTTAGATGGTGCTGGGGATTCCCCTGAGGGGAAATAGTGAGGCCAAGGGGCCGAGGGCATGTTAAAACTGGTATTGGAACGGGTGGTTCTTTATGTTTTACAGTGGCTTTAAGTTTAAAGGAGCTATAAGCTTTAGTTATTAAATCTGAGTTTTAACTGTTAGATGTTTGCTTTAGTTCTTCCTCTGTTTTTCTCTTCTATGTATGTGTGAAAATGTCATTTTTTCATGAGTCGTTCTTTGTAGACAGTGTCTCTCTCTCTCTCTCTCTCTCTCACACACACACAAACACACACATCCCTAACTCCCAGCGAAGAGTGTTTTTTATTGCTTGCTTGCTACTTCCATAAATCCCCTAAAGCAAAGAGGGCCAAACAAGCCAAACAGCCACCTACACACATATACACACACACATAAAGACTTGCACACAGAAACAATGTCCACAAATATATGCATTGTACAAACCCTTTAAACAGCACACATTATAACCATTAAATGCATCACAACACACCCACATCATCCACCCATATGAGACTGTTTTAAAATACACATCCACAGTAAAACAAAGACACTTGTCGTGTGTACAGTGCATAACTTAAAGCTCTTACAATAACACACCAACCAAGCACACACACAGAAAACACCCGCCACTTCATGTTGCGTCCCAAACCTGTGTCCTCAGGGGAGAAAAAGCTCTCCATTAATAATCCTTACTCATTCATAATCTCATTTTCTTAAGTACCATGCAGAGGGAAAGAGCAGCAAAATTCTGATATAAATATGTAACCGCATACTGAGGCTTACCCACAGGAGACCATTAGAACAAACTGGGGCAAACTGCTACAGTCATAAAAAGCAGTGCTGTAAAGTGTAATATTTTGACTCTCATCTTAAATCCTACCCTGCATTTCAAACACTTTTTTGATAAATTATTTTATAAGGATTCAAATATTATGAAAAGGCATGTTGTTCCCCGTCATGGAAATATCTTTCATTCAAGGACTGTATCCTGGGGCAAGTAGTGGTCATTTTTAATTGGCTGATGAGGTTTAGAGCTGTAGAAATCTGCAGTCATGGTTATAAGCATTCCTCTATAATGATGGATAACTTGCACATTGGGGTGTGCAATTTACCTTTTTTTCTTTTTCTTTCTTTTTTTTTTTTAGATATGGGTTCCTGCTCAAGACTCTGTTGGATGTATTTTATGAGTGTTAGGGCAGGTAACACAATCATTTCAAGATGCTATGTATATAGTTATACTCAGGTGGTGAATAGTTTGCTTGGTGGGGTCTACTTACAGTGCTGTTCTACTGTGTAGTTACTGGCCCACGGGTTTCTTAAAGGAATGAAAAATCTAATTTACACAATTTTCCACTTACTGAGAATGTAGTCAATCAACCAAGGCTTGTCTGGTGTCCACATTTTCTTTTTTATTTTAGTCACTCACAATCACTTGTAACATACTTCACACAGACATGTGGGTGCTAGATTATGCTTGGAATTTCTGTTGTTTCTGTTTCTGAACAAAATCCTCAGTTAGAAATATGAGATTTCAAGTCATGTTTGAAAAGAAACAACAGAAATCGTGAATGTATTCTGTAGTTTCAATATGTCTGCATGCATATGAATGGGAGTCATTATATTATGTCCACACTGACTGCCTGTGTGATCTTAACGAAGACCTGGATGCAGTTCAAGCAAGCTGAGACACGTTTCAAGGATGTATTTACGGAAAAGATTCGGGTGACTATTGAATTCTAGTGTTAGGAACATTAGTGTTGAAGCTCTAGCTTTAAACTAAGGAAGCTACATTTGGACACCAAACATGGCTTGGAAAAGTGGAAAGTGGAAAATTGGGTAAATCTTCTGCCAAACTATTCCTATAAGTGTGAAATACACATTTTCTGATAAGTTCTATTTAGAATCAGTTGGTGCCCAATTTTTCTGTTTTTGCTTCTTTTTAATCAAACCTTTTAGTTCTAAGTTTATGCTCACAGCTTTCTCTTGTTTAGCTGAATGCATCTCATGTCTTGCTGTTTTCCTCTGTGCAAACAGTTTTGTGTGTGATCACGAGACTGTAGTTTGACTGAACAACACTATTCCCCCTGCACTATGGAGGTAATTAATTGGTTTATAGCTTCAGGGGCTTACTGGCACTCCCTCTCTACTGTAGGCCTGGGAATGACTGGGCAGTGGTAGTTGTTTTTGGGGGAGGTTGAGGCCTAAAGGCTTGACTGTGAGATGTTTCGACAAATGAAATGAAGCCCACATAAGTGACCACTATTTTGAAAAAGAACCAGACAAAAGAGACATTTTATAACAATTAGCAATGGGAAATAATCTAAGACTGAATTGAAGGTAACATTTAAGATTTCCTTCTAGTCTAGGACTAGGCTTAATTTGTGACCAAAAAAATCAAGTTGTTATACTTGACAGATCCTTTAAGCCATAGATTCATTTTAAACTGAATGGGTGGTTGGATAAACAATCTAAACAACTAATTCCATGTTAATGTACCATTATTTATATTTGACTTCCCAAAATAGCTTCAAGGTAGAACAGGTGGAACAGGTTTCCAGTCTTTGCCTGCTAGCTGATAACAATCTGTGGAAAGTACATCTGCCCATATTTTCTCACACTTTTACACCCTGCTCTGACACGGTCTGAAAACTGAACCTGCCATCTGTTTGGAAAAGGTGACTGTGTGTGAACCACTGTTCTGTTAAAGGTCAGTCCATATGCAGGAAGGGATGTGTGGATTATTTTGGTGGTGGACTTGAATTAAACGTGGCTTGTGGCACATTCAGAGACCCCGACGTAAGAGATGGATATCTCTTTCTTAACAAAATTGAGACGGCATGCTCTTGTATAAATGGGCAAAACAAACATTGTGCTTTTAAACTGTACAAGAAAAAATACGCAGAGAATAAAAGAGGGTTTCTATCATGTAGGGGCTTATTTTAAGGCTAAGCAATTACTCTGAATACTGTACGTCACAGGCAAATGGTTCTGACTGGTCTGTCAATGGTAGTCATTCTGTGTATGCGTGTGTATACCTATAAAAGAGCAAAAATGTCATTTTGATTAAAGCCTATCCATCTAGTTTTTCTGGGAACCAGCAAGACACTGTGTTGAGCCTAAAGGAAAGCCCCGCAGAAGCAGCTCTGCGTGTGTGCATGTATATGTGTTGGTTAGTCATCATCCACTGCCCACAGCGGGAGACTTTCAGTCATTCACAGTCATTACAGAACCCTGACTCTTAATATTCTACAGCTAGCAGGGAAAAAATCCAGAGCTGTTCTAAAGATGCCTAAGGTTTTAGAGGCACTTCTCAAGATTCCACAGTCATTCTAAGCGTATGTCACAGATTATAACTGGAAAGAAGCTGGAGCTCAAAGTGCTGATACACCCTTGCAAACCATGCTCCTGTGTTTTGAGGAGGGGAATTGTTTGTTTCGC